TGGACGAATAGCAATGCGCTATATCCTCAAATCTTCACATGGGTATCCACTAACCCGAAGTTTAGGTTTGATCCAAGGAATCGCATGTCAAACATGTTCAATGGGAAAACTTATTACTAAGCCTTCTAATGACAAGATTCGTTCAAATCCTCCCATTTGTCTACAACAGATTCAAGAGGACATTTGTCGACCAATTCACTCTCCCTGCGGACCCTTTAGATACTTTATGGCTTTGCTTAACATTTCCACATATTAGTCACACGTGTGCTTGTTGTCCACAAGGAATGTTAAATTCTCCAAATTGTTGGCTCAGGTTATCAAGCTCAAGGCTCACCACCTTGATTATCCAATCAAATCTATTTGATTAGATAATGCTGGCGAATTCACATCTAAAACTTTTGATGACTATTGCATGTCGGTTGGGGTTGAAGTTGAACATCCTATACCCATGTTCACGCCCAGAACGGCTAGGCAGAGGCTTTCATTAAGCACTTACAAATGATTGCTCGATCGTTGGTCATACGTACTAACCTCCCAATCCCTGCTTAGGGCCATGCAATATTGCACGCAATAAAGTTGGTATGTCTGAGGCATGTTGTGACACAACCATTTAGTGCTTTTCAATTGGTTACCGGATACGAACCTGACATATCGCATCTGCGTGTTTTTTGTTGTGCGGTATATGTGCCAATCTCGTCACCCTTATGTACAAAAATAGGGCCTCAGGGAAGGATGGGAATCTATGTCGGATATGATTCTCCTTCGATTATTCGTTCCTTAGAACCTTTGACAGACAATCTGTTTATCGCTCGTTTAGCAGATTGTCACTTCTACAAGACAATCTTCAAATCGTTAGGGGGAGATAAGAACATCATCGTTCCTGAAGAATGACACAAATTATCGTGGACAACTCCCACTTTAACTCATGTAGATCCCCGCACTGCTCAGTTTGAAACTGAAGTGTAGCACATATTAGATCTTCAGAGGATAGCTCAGAGTATGCTAGATGCTTTCACCAATCTAGCGTGCGTGACAAGATCACATATTCTAGATGCGAATACGCCTGTAAAGATGGATATACCAAATGTACGACGGACTTCCCTCCTAGAGGCCCAAGACGCCAATATTGGTGATCTATGTACATTAGTGGCTAGCCAATCCTGCTTCTACACAAAAGTGTGGCAGACTTCTTGGTTCAAAGGATTCACACCCCCGGAAGAAGAAACCCACGACACAAGGTCCTGAAGAACCTACCATGAATTTGACTATCGCTTACTCATTCTATCCAACTCATGAGGAAATTCTAGATATGGAAACGTCCTTAAAGAGATAAATCCTCCTCCTGAGAATCATGAGACTTCGGTCTATTATGCTAGCTTAGATGTGTGGCATAGAAATGAAATGATTGTCGACGATGCATTAGCATATGCAGTAGCTACTGAGATTATGTTGAGCGATGACATTGAACCGCGTTCTATTGATGAATGTCGATGTAGAACTGATTGGTTAAACTGGAAACAAGCAATCCAAGTTGAACTCGATTCACTTGCAAAACTTAAGGTGTTTGGACCTGTAGTTCCTAATCCTCCACATGTGAAGCCTGTTGGCTACAAATGAGTTTTCGTTCAGAATTGTAATGAGAAGAATGAAATTATGTGTTACAAAGTTCGTCTTATTGCACAAGTTTTCTCACAACGCCCCGGGATTGACTATGACGAAACTTATTCACCCATATGAATGTGATTACTTTTTGCTACCTTATCAGTTTGGTAGTTTCCGAAAAACTGAGTATGCAGCTGATGGACATAGTAATTACGTATATCTATGGGGATTTTGATATGGAAATCTATATGGAAGTTCCTGAAAGACTTACTCTCAATTAGGCTGTGGTGTTCAATTATGTTGAGCGATGACATTGAATCGCGTTCCATTGATGAATGTCGATGTAGAATTGATTGGTTAAACTGGAAACAAGCAATCCAAGTCGAACTCGATTCACTTGCAAAATGTAAGGTGATTGGACCTGTAGCTCCTACTCCTCCACATGTGAAGCCCGTTGGCTACAAATGGGTTTTCGTTTTGAATCGTAATGACAAAATGAAATTGTGTGTTACAAAGCTCGTCTTATTGCATAAGGCTTCTCACAACGCCCCGGGATTGACTATGACAAAACTTATTCACCCGTTATGAATATGATTACTTTTCGCTACCTTATCAGTTTGGTAGTTTTCGAAAAACTGAGTATGTAGTTGATGGACGTAGTAATTGCATATATCTATGGGGATCTTGATATGGAAATCTATATGAAAGTTCCTGAAGGACTTACATTAACTGGTTCAAATATTTCCAAACCCAGAACATGCTCTTAATTAGGCAGTGACGTTCACTCTACGGTTTGAAGCAATCTGGAAGAATGTGGTATAACCGTCTGAGTGAGTATTTGACTAGTCAAGGATATGTGAACCACGAACTATGCCCTTGTGTGTTCATTAAGAAGTCACATTCCGGATTTGTGATTGTTGCAGTATATGTCGATGACATGAACCTTATCGGAACTCCTAAAGAGCTCGTGAGAATTACCGCACACCTGAAGTCAAAATTTGAGATGAAAGATCTAGATGAGACTCGACGCTGTCTCGGTCTCGAGATAGAGCATTGTTTGGATGGAATCCAAGTACATCAAAAGAACTACACCCAGAAGGTGTTGCACCGCTTTAATGAGGATAAAGCGAAACCTTCGAGTACTCCTATGGTCATTCAATCGCTAAATGCAAAACTTCCTTCCATCCAAAGGAGGATGATGAAGAGATTTTGGAGCCTGAAGTTCCTTATCTAAGTGTGATACACGCTTTATTGTACTTAGCTCAATGCATTAAACCTGACATCTCCTTCACTGTTAATCTTTTGGCAAGATACAGTAATGCACCTACACACAGACACTGGACTGACGTGAAATACATCTTCCGTTACCTTAAGGGTACTACGGATTTGGGCTTGTTCTATCCTTACGGATCCTTGAGTGATGCTGCACCCTTCACTTCTCGAGTCGATTCTCGCCTTGTTGGTTATGCCAACGCAGGATACTTATATGATCTGCACAATGAGCATTCTTAAACGGGTTATGTCTTTAATGTTGAAGGCATCGTAATCTCTTGAAGGTCAACTACATAGTCCTTTGTTACCACTTCGTCTAACCATGTTGAAATTCTTACCTTACATGAAGCAACTCGGGAATGCTTTTGGTTGAGAGCAGTAGTGGGCCATATTCGAAACTCCTACGATCTTTATACCGCAGTTGATGCGTTGACGACAATCTTTGAAAACAACGCAACATGCATCGAACAACTCAAGAAAGGGTTACATTAAACGACACAACACCAAGCACATTGCACCGAAGTTCTTCTTTTCACATCAACAATAAGAGCATCAGAAGATTGAAGTCATGCAAATCTGTTCACAAGACAATCTAGCCGACCTTCACCAAATCATTGTCGAAGACGACGTTTCAGAAACTTGTTCATGGAATTGGTATGCGTAAACTTTATGAATCGTAACTTTGCTATTTCTCTTTGGAACTGTGTCAAACTTAGGGGGAGTATCCTGAAGATATTTGCTTGATCTTAATGTACTCTTTTTCCCTACGATTAGGAGCATTTTTTCCATTGGGTTTTTGCTACCTAATTGGGTTTTAATGAGGCACCCACCTTAGGCTGGTCATATCTCTGATGACATCTCGTAAACGTTTCTTTTGACTTTGCATTTCTCACGTATTTTTCCTTAGACTATGAATTTTGTCCTTACTCGAATTTTTGCCATAGTCTTAGGGTTTTTTAGTGAGACTCATTTACTTATGCGAGTTCCTACCTTATTGAGAATAAGTGTTGTTCCTTAGAATCAGTGCCGACGAGTCAGCTTCCTCAACTTCTGCATGATGCTAAATCTACCTTGAGTATTTACACACTCAAGGGGGAGTGTTGTAAACATTCCTCGTTTACGTGTGATTGTGTAAATCCTAGATTAGATTAGATTTTAATTATCCTTTCCTATTACAATTTGTATTACTTGGGGAAGAAGGAATATCTTATCTCCTTTTACTATTATAAATAAAGGCACAATGTAGTACGGATAACAACACACATTCCCATACAATTCTACAAGCACATCTCTCTCAACCTCTCTCCCCTCTACCAGCTGACCCCTTTTAACCTTGTCAGATAAAATAGACCATAACACCAACGAAATGAATAATAATTTTTAATTTTTTTAGTCCCTATATTTATGGATTATAATTAAGGATTTTCTTTTACAATCAATAATTTTTTTAGAGACTCGAATATTAATTTAAAGCCCTTAAATGAGTCATCAAAGTTAGTGGTGGGAGTCCCTAACTAGGGACTCTCATTGGAGATGCTCTTATAAGCTCATGTAATGTCCCTCTTCATTAATGTGATACTTATTCTCAATATGTTCTGTGACAATTTTCAAACCTAATACGTGAAAAACATAAATAGAATGACGTAGAATATGTGTAGTTGTTGAGTTTCTAGGGTATAATTCCAATAATTTTTCACTAAAGTCAATTAATGATTATATTGACTTAAACCCATACCGTACTAGGTGTCGACGGAGAATGTTTTTGTGTCATCGACTTGGTAAATGGATTCACATTTTTGGCAAAGTTAATGCCTCCTTGCTACCACTATACAACAATACTAGTAACTAAGTGGTTATTTTTAAAAGTTGCTATTTTGAGGTCATTATTTTAAAATAAGTAGAATATTTTATTTTTATTATATGCTTTTTTACTGCTTAACTTTAAAGTGAAAACTTTAGGTGAAGAAAGCAATATCAAAGTTTATGCCATAATACTTTGTGACTTTAGGTACTAAAATACAAATTTTTAAAAGACACGGACCCAATAGTTACATAGACAAAAAGACAAGGGTGTAAAATGCAATTATCAAAACAACAAAATTGACCCTCGGAGCTTCGAGACCTAACAAAAACTTCACTCACAGCTGAGGAGCAAAGAAGCTAGAGAGAGAGAGAGAGAGAGAGAGAAGAGAGAAGTGAGAGAGATGGAGACGAAGCCAAGTGAGGTGAGCAGCTCGAAGATGTTCGGAGGGTACAACAAGAGGTACAAGCATTTCAGCCCTACGCTCGGCTGCTCCATGACCTTCCACATCTACTTCCCTCCTTCTCCTTCCCCTTCCCACCGATTCCCTGTAACTCCTCTCTCTCTCTCTTACCTATTTGCAGCTTTCTTTTGAAATTTCATTTCCCAGTGAAATTGCTATCTGGGTTTTATCTGATTTTGGACATCCTAGGGATATGTGGCTGAAATCTGTTGCTTTTTGTGAATATATGGCGTTAATTGATAAGGGTTTTGCTATAGTTGCTTGAGAAATTTGGAATTTAGTTTCCCTCAATTCAGTGTGCTGATCCGCCTGACAGCCCGGATCTTGATAGAATTAGTTATATGGTACTCACATACACCATTATAGTTGCAAAGTCAGTCATCTCCTAGTACTATCATAGACAAAGAATTTAAGTTGGGGAAAAGGAAGCTTCCTCGATTTATTTTTTGAACCGATTGTCTTGCATAAATGTCTTAAAATCTATGAACAGAAAGAATGAGGAGATTTTTGCCTTGCTGAGAATTAAAAGTAGGTACAATGGTTGATGTTTGCAGTAGTACTTGAGTTAGTTTTACATCATCATTCGCCCTGGGCGCAAATAATTGTCAGCTCAGAAGTTTTCATAACATTTTGGCTGGAACCTTGTATAGTTGAAACGATTCGCATAACTTTTCTCGTGGCATTGTTTATTAAGCATTTTGAAACTACTTTCCCGTGCTTCTTCTTCTTGTTGAGTTTGATTTTCCAATTTTCTTTTGTCCATACGATGCTATGAAAGTTTGTATTTTGCAATGTGTGATAATCAATTTTTTTGATGAGAAGGTACTTTACTGGCTCTCTGGCCTGACCTGCACAGATGAAAATTTTATAACCAAGTCAGGAGCTCAACGTGTTGCCTCAAGTGAGGGTGTTGCTCTGATCGCCCCTGATACTTCTCCAAGTTAGTGGGCCGCCCTTGTTGCTTTTAACTTTGAAGTGATTATTGTGTCTCCGATGCTAGCTTTAATTGCTTTTTGTGAAGTAGGACTGATGTTAGTTGGTAACCTTTCCAACAACTTGTCCGGTGACCAATGTCGGCAGCTGTTTGGGTCATGTATTCAAATATTGTAGAATGTGGCATAACCAAGTAATCTATCTAATATCTATGGCATTTTGCCATTCTTACCGGTTGACGTCCAAAAATAACATGAGTTGTTAGCTTATAATGTGAATTGATTGGAGCTGTGAGTTTAATGGCACTTTTTGTTGTTAGTTTTCCATGGATAGTAACGACCGTTAAACTTTTTTATATTATAAATGTTCACCTTTTGTTGCAGATATAGTAGGGCTGGACCTTGTTTCATGTTGTGTGTTCTGACAAGTAGCCAAAGTTCCTCCAAACGTCATCCAACTTTGTCTAATCACTATAAGTTAATTACAGCCACTTCCCACAGACACAGAAACACAAGGGATAAACAAAATAAAAAATGACATCGACAACTGTCACTACCAGTGAAATGCAAAAAACTGGGGGTGATATTGTAGGTTATTTGTAAATATAAAAAAATTCAGTAAGGAGTAACATCTACATCTGCCGTTAGTAGCTAACCCATTATTTCTTTATGGTTACTCATGCATTTTCTTATGATAGGCTGTCCTTTTAATTATATGTTCCATTCTATACCACCATATATCTTGTGTTATTATGCTCTTATTGTGCTCACTACTTGTTCATGTAAACTCTTAATAGGAGGCTTGTCTATAGAAGGAGAGGCGGATAGCTGGGATTTTGGTGTAGGTATGCAACATTGGACTTTTATATTTCATTTTATGAAGTATTTCTGCAAAATTTGCCTTACATTGTATGGAATTTGCGAATCTATCACTTTATTCAAGACAGATAACCCTAACCTTGCAATTGTATTTTAAATTGTTAAGACAGAGTCGCTAATAGTATTATAATTCGGAAAGGGAAAATAGAATGGTCAACTGTATTTTAAAGGTGGAGGGAGAGTAAACAGGGATCCCTTTTAGGTGCATAAGCAGTAATATTGGAAAAGTATGTGGTAGTCGTTACAAGATAGAGTATTCTCAATTGAGGATAAGATAGGTTTTATCAAAACAATAAAAAATTGGGAACTTTAACGAAAAGCTTCCGGTACTGTTCACTTTAATGAAAAACCACATTTTTACACTAAAAAGTCAATCCTGATACTATTCACTTTACCCTTTATTTTGTCCTTATCGTTAAAACTCAAAGTTTTCAAGCCCTTTTCATTAGTTTTTCTTAAAAAATATTAGAGGATAAGATTGGGTAGGATCTTTAAGATGGTTTGTTCATGTACAAGGTGGATATAAAAATTATAGGTTCTGAAGGGGGAGAACTTCGAGTTCTGTTCCTGCAAATTTTCTGATTTCTTGAGAGTTTCCGTGCAAAAGGTTATATATATATATATATGTGTGTGTGTGTGTGTGTGTGTGTGTGTGTGTGGGTTTTTATTACAAAATGGTCTTTGAAGTTGATCCCCCCCCAGCAGAATGGTATCTGAAATTGAAAGTCAATCAACATAGTCCGTGAATAGGGAGCAGCAAATCAATGTGGTCTGCCGTCAGAGCTTCGTAAAAAAAATTGTTATGTTCTGATGTGTTACATATGTGGGTTCACAAGTCTAACTAAATATTGCTATTTATCTCCTCAAACAGGTGCTGGGTTTTATCTCAATGCTACTGAAGAGAAATGGAAGAACTGGCGCATGTATGATTATGTTGTCAAGGAGCTGCCACAACTTCTGAATGAAAACTTTTCACAGCTTGATACATCACGGGCATCTATATCTGGTCATTCTATGGGTGGGCACGGTGCTTTGACAATCTACCTGAAAAACCTGGATAAATATAAGGTATATAAATATTCAACCACACTTTAGCTTTTTTTTAAGAAGTTGACTTTTATTTAACAACTATGGAAAGTTCGGTTTTTCTATAAAAGTTACTGGGTTGCAGGGGGAGCTTTATGCAATTATTGGATTAGATCTTCTTAGGAGAAATTATGTTGAATCTAACTCCTTTTATGTAATGTTTTCACTCATTTTCCAGTCAGTATCTGCCTTTGCACCCATTGTGAATCCTACTAACTGTCCATGGGGCCAGAAAGCTTTCTCAAATTATCTAGGTGGCAATAAAACCGATTGGGAAGTAAGATCAGAAATCTAATTGTTTCAGTTCTTATCCATACTCTTTTGGTTCCTAGTTTGTAACAAATTGAATGCAAAAATGCAGGAATATGATGCCACTTCCCTAATTGTGAAGTTTAATGATGTGTCAGCAACTACCATTTTAATTGATCAGGTAAGATTTGATGTCATCTAATCTATATCTTTGTTGTTGTAACAATTGTTAAGGTTTTGTTGTTAACCACTGTTTTGGAAAGCTTGACTTGTTAGGAATCAGATGTGGCCCAACTATTTTATTTTTTAATAGGCCACTCTCTTTGTGGTCCACTCTCCATGACTGGATGGCCTGACACATGGAGTTCATCATAAATTGAGAGGTTTCAGCATCATTGTTGATTGGAAATGATTTCTGCGAACTCCCCCCGCCCCTGTTTATTTATGGCCTTTGTTTAGAATAAATCAAAGGAAGAATCAAGGGACAAAAATGAACAGGGGTGTGCAGAAAATCCTTGTTGATTTGGTATGAAGAAACTTGTGGAGAATGAACTGTAATAGGGGTTGCATGTTAATCTTTAAACATGCATTTTTTCAATAATTTTAGTCCAGTGTCCCCATCAGTGAATATTTATAACATGTTCTCTCACGTACACTTTAACTGCCTTTGTTTGCATTCGGTAGTTAATTACTGCTGCTGTTGTGTAGGGGGAAGATGATAAATTCTTGCATGATCAGTTGATGCCACACAAGTTTGAAGAGGCATGTCGGAGTGCTAAAGTTCCACTCCTTTTGCGACTGCAGCCCGGTTATGATCACTCATACTTTTTCATTTCCACCTTCATCGATGATCACATCCGTCACCATGCTCAAGCTCTTAATCTACCGTGAATATTCTGTTGCTTGTGAATCCAGAACTTTAGAATCCTTAATGCACGTTGTATGAACTTGGGATCATATCTGCTCCCATGTGCTCTCAATTTCGGTTTTTCGTGTTATGACAGAGTAAACATGTTGATCCTAGGATATATAAAATAAACTTCTATGACATGATCTGTGTTTGTGCAAGTTTCCAGTGATCCAACTAGTAACCGATGTTGCACTTCAGATAACTTGTTTCTAAACTCTGTGCAGTAGGACTGTTAAACACTTGATTCTGAAATTTGTCATGTTTTATATGAGATAACAATAGCCTTCCATACAATAGGGCTCACATGCAGGAGAGTAACTTACATAGAATGAATTCACCGTCACCTTAACATTTTAGTTCAAGAATGCATTATTGTGTGAGTAAAAAGAACTTATGGTGCGTGAAAATTAATGCTCTAATTAGAGGCCTAGTAAAATTTAGCTGAGAGCGAATTTAACCCGTTTGTTTTTAGATTCACACTATGGATGGTGGGATTTGGATTAAACCACACAATGGGCTTTTGAGCTCGCCATCCATGATATTTGAGCCTAAAATTTTCCATTTACAAGTGGAGATAAATACTAAACGGTAGTACTGATATTAACCCAAAATTAAACATCAAATAATATTAAAACTCACGGATATTTACATGGTGTAGTTGGAGATGCTAAATCGAAAGGAATTAACAAAATTATAGCTATTGTTCTTGCAATTGCTCTAACAATTTACTTTTTTCTACACGTAAGAACCTTTTATTGATTTATTTATTTTTATAACAAACGATATTATTTACACTAAAAGGGTGGGGGAGTGGGCTAAGCCTTACAATGGGCTTGCCATAATAATGTGGTTCAACGTTACCTTTGACGAGAATCGAACCTAAAACCTGTTACTTACACGTGCATATAAATTACTTCCTTAATGTGTATCTCGCTGCCTAAACTAAGAGGTGGTTCTATTGGAACTCAACAAATGAGTTCATCGTAGAAAGTCCAACAATGTATTGGGCTAGTTTTTATTGTTGTACTGTTAAGATTTTATTTTATTTTATTTTTTTGGTGAACTATCACGCATGTGCTAAACGTCAAATTTAGGGTTGATTTTTTTAGATGGATAGGATCGGAAACAAGGTTTCCAATTTCCATTTCAAAAATTTCTAATCGAATCAAAATTTCACATTCAGAATTTTTGAGATCGGAATAATCTTGGAATTTTGAAAAATAATTCGAAGAGTCATATATTTTACAAGTTTTTTGGAAAGGAATTGTTATTGGCACTCCAAAAATCACATTTTGCATTCTGAACATTTTATAATTAGAAAGAAAAATATACTTGTGAGGAGTGTAGAATGAGATTTTTGTAGTACTAATAACAGTTCCTATTTGGAAAATTTTGAACTTTTTTATATATGTAATTTAGAGTTTTTTTGGGGGTACTATTTGGTATATGGTTGTGTATAAATATAATTATTTTTGGTGATCTAAAATACCTTATTTTTAGTATAGGTGGCAATGAAAAATTCAACAATTATTATTATTATTTTTTATATAGATGCTACTATAATTCAAAATAATTATATGATTGACACTCAATCATACAACGTTTTGCGGCCGGGCAACTTTTTTTGGCAACTAGCGGATCAAACTTTTCAATGTCAATGTCATTGGGCAACATCGACTATTAAAAATAGAATTAATTACATTTTACCATCTCAAGTTTGAGGTCTATTAAAATTTCATACATCTTCAAAACATTTCACTTTCATACCTCAAGTATTATTTTATTTCAATATAATATATCCGTTACATTTTCTATCTATTGATCCGTTAAGAGTTGACGTGGTTATCATGTTTGTGTTGATGTACCTACCAAATTTGTGCCACGTGGCAAAAAAATAATTTTTATATGCATTTAAAATATTATAATAATTTACCCTATTAAAAAAAAAAAAAAAAAAAAAAAAACAAAACCCAAATGCATGCCCAGATCCTCTTCTTTCCCCCTCACCTCTCTGCAACTCCTTCCTCTCTTCCTCCATCTCCCCCTCCCTCCTATGGTGCTCCTCCCCCTCCCCCTCCCCCTCCCCCTCCCCCCTCCCCCCTCCCCCTCCTACACACCCATCACCCTTTCTCCCTTCTCCACCTAAACCATCTTCTCCGTCCACCTTCCTCATATGATATCCTCACCTATCTTCCCTATCCATCATCGTCACGGTCTTCCTCCTGGTGTGCTCAGTATAGGTCAAGGCATCACGGATCACATTCTCCAAGAAGATCTTGGGCACTCCGCGGGTCTACAAGGAAACCCAAATCTCGTTGAACCGCAAGACGATCACCCAGATCTTGTCCGCTAGGTTCGAGATGGTGTGGGGGGTTGCGGGGGCATCGGTCGTGGAGAGAGAAAGGAGGGAGGGTTGTTTGGGGTTGTGCGTGGGGAGAAGGGGTGGTGAAGACGAACTGGGTTTTGGCTTTTTTTTTTTTTTTTTTCTTTCGCTTTTTTTAATTAATTATTTTAAATTTTAAAATTTTTTATTAAGTGTTTAGCCACATAGCATAAATGTGGCAACTACATCAATACAAATGGGGATCCCTTATTTGCCAAGTCATCACTTACCAGTTTACTTAACAGATTTTCTAACAGATGTATGAAATTGAAATAAAATGATAAGTAAATGTATGAGATTGAAATGTTTTAAAGATGTTGTATGGAATTGAAATCGATCCCAAACCTGAAGGGGTAAAATGTAATTTACCCTAAAAAATATGTAAAGCGGACTTTCTCATAAGTTCTCTACTTTTAGAAATTGACTACAATACTTAACATATATTTAATACAATCATCATTTCGACAATCAAATATGGTCTACTAATATGAATTGTATCCGACCATCAGATGGCGATTGAAGATGAAAAAGCACCCACTGCAATTTTTCTTAAATACAGTTAAACAATGACTTGAAATTGGAATATTTCAGAAAATTCGAATAAAAAATTTGGACCTTCGCAATTTCTAAATGCTTTCCAATATTATTCAAAAAAAATAAAAGGGAAACGGGCCGAAATTTTTTAATTACAGAATTGGAAGTTCCATCACCAATTTGGATCCCTAGGCTAATTAATTGTATGAAACTGATAAGAAGATATAAAAGGAACACTGTTATAAACGTTTGAAATTAAATAAAATGAAAAGGATGGTTAAAAATTATTGAAACACCGCCAACAAATCCAATGCTTGAACTCCATAATTGGTTGTACATAAGGAAAGCATGTTGAAATACTTCGTTTAATTGTATTATTCTTATGAAGAGGTATATATACACTTATATATATATATATATATATATATATATATATATATAGAGGATGAATCTGTGTGACCATTTTTTTTACACAATTTTTTGTACATGTTTTTGCGAGGCTCAGTATTTCAACGATCCGTCTATATGCATACGATTAGAACTCTATTTACAATCAATTATAGGAAATCTGGGAAACCTAATGATGAAGGGAATCGCTAGTTACAGTTATTACATATTCTAACAGAACATGTGTGCATAAATTATCCTCCTTGACGTAATCTCATTTGGTTTTGGTTGAGTCAATTCTCTTCTTTTAATGGGCCGTGTGCTCTTTTGGGATTCGGGGGAGTCCTATGGAAGCCCAACATTACCAAATGAAAGAATTAGGGTTAGGTTAGGGGGTTTTTGGCAATACAATAAAGATTAGGGTTAAGTAGCTGTCTTTATATAATGAGAACTTTAACGAAAAGTTACTGTTTATTTTAATGAAAAACCATATTTTTACACTAAAAAGTCAATCATGGTACTATTCACTTTACCTTTTATTTTGTCCTTATCATTAAAACTCAAAGTTTTCAAGCTCATTTCATTAGTTTTCCTATATATTATAGTCTTTTTTTATTTGATTGATCATCGTGAATCCCTTCTCAAACATCATGAAAAATGATTCATTGTCCAATCTTTCAATTCCAATCTTTGTTAGAATATAAGTCATTTGAGTTATGTAGAGAATGCCACTTGTCCTTGTATTAGTGGCTGTTGAGTTTTGTTATGATTTGTATGAGTATAAATAGCAAGATTGCATTGTATTGATTAAGTTAACAGAAATAGAAAATCAGTTGAAAAAGATTCTTCTTCTCTCTCTAAATCTCTGTGATATTCTCTCTCTTTCTTCATAGCTAAGTTTTTCTGCATTTCTTAGCAATGTTATCATGGTATCTTAGTCGATATAGTTAAAACCTTCGGTTGACAATCCTTCTTGCTTCCGCTCTCACTTTCTCTTTCTCGGATTGTTGCTGTGATTTGTCGATCGTCGTCGGTGTTCAAGTTGCGGTTTCCAATCTCAGTTGCTGCTGTTCAAAGTCGGTGGTTTCCGATTTCTATCGTTATTGTTTGAAGTCGGTGCTCTGCAAAACCCTAGAATTAGGGGAATTTTTGGTGTTCTTGAGTTGTTGTTCATCGTCGTCAGTTGCTGAGGTGATATCTCTTCTATGTTAAAGTTGTATCGTTGTTAATTGTGGAAGATCTCTGTTTTCTCTATTGAAACCCTAATTTTTGGAATTGTTGTTGAGGATTGTTGATTTTTTTTGTTCATCCTCCTTCTGTTGTGACATTATTACTACTTGATTCTTGGTACTTTGAGAATATCTGTGGTATAATTTCTTGTGATTCAAGATTTGTTGAGTGTGATTTGTCCAAACATGTTTACCACTGTGCAATTGGCCCTTACACAATCTCCAATTTCCTCACTGATTCCTAGTGTTAGCAATATTGTTACGGTTAAACTTGATGATTCCAATTATATTACTTGGAATTTTCAACTGGAATTATTGTTGGATGGTAATGGAATTAGAGGCTTTCTTGATGGATCAATTCTCTGTCCTGTATGTTTTGATGATTCTGATTTTGATAATGACATCGTGGCGAATGAACAAACTTTAACTGATGCATATAAAGTTTGGAAGATTCATGATAAGGCTTTGATGACACTCATCATTGCTACTTTGTCCACTGCTGCATTGTCTTGTGTGATTGGTTGTCTTCGTGAATGGTTTGCCAATATGAACGGTTTGGAAGTTTCATGTGGACTTGTCTTCGTGAATGATTTACCAATATGACTAG